GTTGTATGTGCACCCATATGACAGCTCTGGGGAAGTGCAGTGATAGGTGATGGTGGTGGGTTCGGGATGGCAGAAAATATTAAAGTGAAGGCAATGTCACTAAGGTCAGACATGCACAGAGTAGAATTCAGCATAAACAATATAAATAATGTAGCATCCAAGATCAACAGTGTCAATAAATTACATCCACAGAAGAACTACACCACTGAGGAGGTGGTATTAAAAAAATCAGTGGAGAGAGGCACTTATGTCAGCAGGAGCCAAATTTAAATGAAGACACTTCCACAGACAGCTAGATATAAGATGCGTTGTGTTGACCTAACCACGTAGTGTAGACCAGGCCATGGACATTAACTGTCTCTCAGGCCACATCTAAACGGTCCAGACTGGCCTGAATTTCCGCAAATGCCTTTAACGGGAAAGTTTTTCCGTTAAAAGCATTTGCAGAACAGAGCGCCTAGCTGGGCACGGACGCTTTTGCACCAAAGCACTTTTTGCAGAAAAGCGTCCGTGCCGATCTAGAGGTGGTTTTGCGCAAGAAAGCCCCGATCGCCATTTTCACCAGCGGGGCTTTTTTGCGGAAAACAGTTTTTAGCTGTCTACACTGGCCCTCTTGCGCAAAAACATTTCCAGGAAAGGGCTTTTGCCCGAACGGGAACGTCAAAGCATTTGTGCAAGCAGCACTGATTTCGGACAGTAGAACGTCAGTGCTTTTGCGCAAAATCAAATGGCCAGTGTAGACAGCTGGCAAGTTTTTGCCCAAAAGCAGCTGCTTTTGCGGAAAAACTTGCCAGTCTAGACAGAGCCCTGCAGTAGGAATTTTTCCATCAATATGAGACCATCCCATCTCCAATGGTAGTACTCCTTGATTAGGAATTTTTCCATCAGTATTTTACCACCCCATCTCCCAGGGTAGTATGCCTGTCCCTCAGTGTAAGACCACCCCATCTCTGCTAATAGTGTTCTCCCATTCCCAGACGTTTGCAGTGGCAGCAGCAGTGGCACAACTGCAGTAGGAATTTTTCCATCAATATGAGACCATCCCATCTCCAATGGTAGTACTCCTTGATTAGGAATTTTTCCATCAGTATTTTACCACCCCATCTCCCAGGGTAGTATGCCTGTCCCTCAGTGTAAGACCACCCCATCTCTGCTAATAGTGTTCTCCCATTCCCAGACGTTTGCAGTGGCAGCAGCAGTGGCACAACTGGGGGGGTGGCGGCATAACACTTGTTGAAAACTTAGCTCTGTCAACCTTTGAAGTGTAGAGTGTGCCTAGTCCTTAGAGCAGCACTGTAGAAAGATATCACCTTGCTCCTGAAATAGCAGCCCTCAGTGTCGCCTTCCCAAGAGACCCAGCAAAAGGAGCTGGGAGTAATGGCCCCTGAAAGGCAGCCTATTGGGGCCTGATGAGGCCTAAGAAGAGTGTATTCCGAAGCAGAGAACCGTCGAAGAGAACATCCTGCTCGAGGCACCTCTGTTGCACAAAAGGGTCTTCTGCTTCTCAGCACTGAGACACTAGGGTCCTGGGAAGTGACCACTCGAGGCAGGTTCAAGGCCATGGAACTGTTAATCAAACTTCCTTTTTTCACAGCAAGCACATCCAAGCCTAAACCTGTGCCAGCCATTTCTAGTTGGGTTCCTTTCGATTTTAACCTCGCCTAACAGTTGTTGTTCAAAGGTTTGGACAGCTTTGAGCCTGTCGCTGCCCCAACACCAGGTATTACCACCCAGAAAACAAGCCAAAGCCAAGCAATAGTTACCCTGTCCGCAGGGACCAGCTCTCATTGCATCATGTACCTGTGGATTGTAACATACCATTTGCGGTGTGTTACCTCAGTTTGCTCTCAAGGCCCCTGTGCTCTGGGGGAGAACCTCAGCTGGTGCACATTGTCATAGCTCCAACAGGGCAATAGAATCATACCCACTGAGGATCTGACCCGGTTGCAGGCCTGCCTCTGCCTTGCTGTCAGGGCAAGACCAGCTGGCTTATTAGCTTAATGTTATTTTAACAATAAGGCAAATTTTGATCACTCTAATATTTTTATCTCTCTTTTCCCTAGCCTGGGTCTGCTTGTCTTTATATTACCCACCTTTCGGGGCTGCGATTGTGCCCTCTTTTCTGTTTGGAAAGCATTTAGCTTTGGCTGTTACTGAAACCAAAAAATGTGGTGTGAAGAGATCTCTGACTGTCCAAGTGCAGAACTCTACTGTGCAGCACGGAAAGTAAAGCCCTTTAATGATGGGGTAGAACTAGAGATGAGTAGTGGCGTGTCTGCATCTGTAGCTGCAAAAAAGAGCCGTGGATATCCACATCTGCAGTTACCCACGAGTATCTGCAGATTAGCAGGGTACCAAGTGCAAAATTTGTATCAGCATCTGGATTCACAAAAATGAGCCGCAGATTTCCACATCCACGTCTGCAGATAGCTGTGGATTTTCAGGACTCTGGAGATGACTCCCCTCTGGAATCGGAGTGCCAACAGATGGCCCCAGGCACATGGTGAAATCTTTCAGGCTGCTGTCTGGTTCTATAGAAAGGATGTGCTGATATTTAAATGAGCTGTGTAGGCCCAGTTCTTTTTAGCTCTTTGGGGAGAAGAGAAGTAAACGAGTGCTTAGAGCAAAGACGAAAAAGTGGGACAGTTAAATGGGCTCCTTGATTTTTCTCTGAGTAAATTAACGCGCAGTTAGCTCGGAGGTGGGATTCAGGCCATGTCGTCTAAGAACGGGTCTCCCTCTGTTAAACTCCTTTTATCTTTCTCTGTAACAGAGTTTCTCCAGGTTTGAACAGACCTGGTAACTGAGTAGGTTTTGTATGTCTTGTTCCTGTATGAGCTTGGTTGATAGCAGTGATTGTAGATGTACTGTCTCTTTACCTGCCTTGCATTCTATGGGTGTTTCCTTGTAGATAATAGTGGATGTGTCGCCCTATTGGCTTTCACCCAGTCAGGTCAGATGCCAGTCCAGAGAGTAGATTGTGCAACATGGTGATCCCAACAACCCTTGGACTGGAATGGGTGTGGCTGTCGTACCTTCCAGCCTGAGACAATTCAGTGTGAACTCTCCAGAAGCTCATAGAGTAACAACTGTTTCCTAACAATCATAGAATCATAGAATAATAGGACTGGAAGGGACCTCGAGAGGTCATCAAGTCCAGCCCCCCGCCCTCAAGGCAGGATCAAGCTCTGTCTACACCATCCCTGACAGATGTCTATCTAACCTGTTCTTAAATATCTCCAGAGAGGGAGATTCCACCACCTCCCTTGGCAATTTATTCCAATATTTGACCACCCTGACAGTTAGGAATTTTTTCCTAATGTCCAATCTAAACCTCCCCTGCTGCACTTTAAGCCCATTACTCCTTGTCCTGTCCTCAGAAACCAAGAGGAACAAATTTTCTCCTTCCTCCTTGTGACACCCTTTTAGATATTTGAAAACCGCTATCATGTCCCCCCTTAATCTTCTTTTTTCCAAACTAAACAAGCCCAGTTCATGAAGCCTGGCTTCATAGGTCATGTTCTCTAGACCTTTAATCATTCTTGTTGCTCTTCTCTGTACCCTTTCCAATTTCTCCACATCTTTCTTGAAATGTGGTGCCCAGAACTGGACACAGTACTCCAGCTGAGGCCTAACTAGTGCAGAGTAGAGCGGCAGAATGACTTCACGAGTTTTGCTTACAACACACCTGTTGATACAACCTAGAATCATATTTGCTTTTTTTGCAACAGCATCACACTGTTGACTCATATTCAACTTGTGGTCCACTATGACCCCTAGATCCCTTTCCGCTATGCTCCTTCTTAGATAGTCGCTTCCCATCTTGTATGTATGGAACTGGTTGTTCCTTCCTAAGTGGAGCACTTTGCATTTCTCTTTATTAAACCTCATCCTGTTTACCTCTGACCATTTCTCTAACTTGCTAAGGTCATTTTGAATTATGTCCCTCTCCTCCAAAGAAGTTGCAACCCCACCCAGTTTGGTATCATCTGCAAACTTAATAAGCGTACTCTCTATCCCAATATCTACATCATTGATGAAGATATTGAATAGTACGGGTCCCAAAACAGACCCTTGAGGAACTCCACTTGTTATCCCTTTCCAGCAGGATTTAGAACCGTTAACAACAACTCTCTGACTACGGTTATCCAGCCAATTATGCACCCACCTTATCGTGGCCCTATCTAAGTTATATTTGCCTAGTTTATCAACAATGGGGGAGGGACTTGTAATTGCCACTGAGCAAAGACTTTTGCCACCGAGCATTGTTTGCACTCACAAAGATGTTCCTTTGCTCATCGGCATAAACCATCTGACAGGGACTTGGGGGACACCGTGGGGGAAGCAAAGATGAGATTTCAAGTCACTTTCTGAAGCAGTTTGTCCAGTTCATTGTGAGGTTCCTGCTACCTGAGCTTTCTCCACCCATTGCCGGAGGATCGATGTGAACCATGACGACACGCGAGGTGGAAACTGAGGAAGACATACACAGCACCTACCCAACAATGGAAGATAAAAGATCAGCGTACAGTCCTGGTCACACCAGCCTGCTGGTTGAATAATATTCTTCCTCAAGAATGACCAGGTCCAATTGATCTCTGGGGATGAGCCATCAAAGCTCCTAGCAAATTTCACTCTAAATTTTCCATCCAGATGCTGAATAATTTGTATATGCACCAAGGCGCATGCGAATGTGCACCACCAATAGAAACAGAAACCTAGCTGGGCACGCTGCTAATCAGCTGGGCGGCATTCGTATCTCTCCTGATCGGCCGCACAAGCACCCAGCTTACAGGGAACGTTGGTGCCCCAGCCTTAAATCACAGCATGCAGCGATCAGTCCCTGCGAGGGGAAATCTCTCCAGTTGTCACACCTCCAGCCTCAGCACAAACACCACGTCCAGCGTGTAGCCGGCAGTCTGAGCTGGGCCGCAGTGACCGGGGATAGTCAGCACTGCGGTGGCCAAGTAATCCCAGTGCCGGGGGCTCCGGCTCCGGCCCCGCCCCCGCGAGGAATGTCAGTTGCTCGCAAGCCACACAGTGTTTGTGCACTGGCGCCAGGCCCGTCTAGCGCTGCCCCGCACGCTGCGTTTTCAGTCCTGCTCCAGGCTGGATGCAAAAACGGACAGTTCGTTGTTGGTTTGCTGAAGAGCAGGTGGGGAAAACGCTCTCCGGTTCTGGCAGTTTCAGCTTGTTCTATGCAGGCTGCCGGGGTCGGCTGAGCAGCACCGAAGGTCAGGCCTGGGAACACTTGTCCAGCCAAGTGGGGGCTCTGTGTAGATAAAGCAGGAACCTGCTCTGCCGTGTAGCACTGCTATTCATGTTAAGACAAGTCCTAGGTCGGTCCAGAGCCTGCTGGGAGGTTTCCTAGGAAGCCGGGTATTCAAAGGAGAATGTCCCTGAGTCACTAGACAGTGTGCCACAGACTTCTCCGACTTGATGTCACCTAATCTGCCTCGGTTTCCCCATCTGTAAAACGAGGTGCAGCTATTTGGCCTGGGCGGTGACACTGGGCTAGATGGACCTTGTGTTCTTATTTTAGCTGGGTGATTCTCTTCCTTCCCAGGTCCCTCAAGTTCCCGTCGGACCTGGAGGAGCTGCGAGAGCTTGCTGAGTTTCTACAGGATTATAAGCAAGAGCACCAGAACTACGTGCTGCTGCTGTTCTGCGCTGCCTACCTCTACAAGCAGTCCTTCGCCATCCCCGGCTCCAGCTTCCTGGTACGCAGCCCATCGCGCCTGCGCGCTTCCTTGTCCCTCACTGCACTTGCCGGTGGTCTTCCAGTCCCTGGTCTCTCACGCTGATTGGGAACCCCCATCCTGGCCCGTCCTCTCGCCTCCCGGTTGCCTGGGCTCTGCTCTGTAGGCTTTGTGCCATCCCTGGAGCGTGCCGGGGCTTGAGACATGCCTAGGCCGCCCCTCGCCTGGGGACTAGATGGACCAGCAGGAGGCTGCTCTCCCCTGCTCCTTTCTATCCCCCCGTGTGTAGCGCCAGGGTCAGAGCCTCGCACAGGGAGCTTGTGCGCTGTTCCTCTAGCTCGACGGCGACCCCCCTCCCCAGACGCCACACGGCCAGGCTTTCCAGACACACGCTCTGGGGTGACTCGTTTTTAGCTGTATTGTAGAGGTAGACAATGAATATTGAGGGGTGCTGCTCTCCCCTGCTCCTTTCTATCCCCCCGTGTGTAGCGCCAGGGTCAGAGCCTCGCACAGGGAGCTTGTGCGCTGTTCCTCTAGCTCGACGGCGACCCCCCTCCCCAGACGCCACACGGCCAGGCTTTCCAGACACACGCTCTGGGGTGACTCGTTTTTAGCTGTATTGTAGAGGTAGACAATGAATATTGAGGGGTGAGGTCAGAGTCAGTGTCTGCAGGCTCCCGCCCAACCATTGCCCTTGGTCGGTTGCCAGACTGCTGGGCTGGGCGCTCTCGGGCTGGTTCTTCCTGGCTCCTGCCCCCGGAGAGCTGTATATCGGTTGTATATGCTCCCTCGCTGGTACGTTTCCGCGGCAGCCCAGGTGGCTGTGGGCCTGGGCCGGTCGTTGGCTGATGCTAAGGGGGTGGCTGGACAGTGGCGGGGC